AGAGAGAGAGAGAGAGAGAGAGAGAGAGAGAGAGAGAGAGAGAGAGAGAGAGAATCACCTAGTGACTTAGCCTCTCAAGCCTCCCCTAGCCTCCCTAGCCTCCCTAGTCCTAGTATAAAGGCCTCAGCAGGCCTTGTGGCCTCTTCATTATTCAGTTTTTGGTTGGGTCTCTCTCCTAACCGAGCGGCTCGCGCCGGCCGCCTTCGGCGGCCGACGCTCGACAGTGCGGCCTCCGGCCGCGCGTGAGGGAACGACAAGGAACACGCACAAAATCGGGTATAAGCAACGGCATACTAACAATGGCGGCACCAACAACATCCTAGGCAACAATGGCGACACGAGCGCAAGCGGAGCCCGGATCTACATCCGGTGAGCTCCAAGGGCATGGAGAATGCCAGTTAAAGTCCGCCACAGCTCCCGGACCACCAGCGTACTTGCGCCGATCGCCGCGGCTCCAGACCCTGCGCGCAGGTGCTGCCTTAAGCCCCGGACAGCCTCGTCCAGCTGTCCCACAGCCGCAACGCCACCCTCTGCGGGCGCCAGCAGCTGCGCAAGCTGGTCCGCCGCGTCCAGACAGGTCTCGCGCGGCCTGTCACGAAATGAGTCAGCAGGGATCGGAGGGAGAGACGCATGAGCCAGCACCTGAATCAGCAGCAGGGCGTGCAGGCTCTCCGCCAGACGGTGCAATTGCCCGAGGGTCGATTCAAGTACACGGGTCTGCGGGGGCTGAAGGGCCACCGCCAAAAACGAAAGCGGGTCATCAGCAGCGGGATAAGGGGTGTGCTGCGCCCTAGCCGCCCCACCACCAACAGCCACGAACTCCACACCCGCCATGGGCGGAACAGGGGGAAGGCGGAGACGAGAGCCAGGAGCAGGGGCCGAGGCAGCAGGAGCTGGGGGCGATGGAGCATGAGGAGGAGGAGGAGGCGCAGCAGCAGGGGCAAGGCCCTCGGGAGGGAGTGCCTGACGGGGAGCCACATGCGCCGGCGCGGACCGCGGCGAACTACTGTGGCTTTGCGCCGCCCGTTCCTCGCGCACCGCCCTTGACACTTCCCGCTGAAGATCAGCCAGGGTCACGGGCGGGCGGTATGCCCCACCACCACCACGCCCGCGGGGACCCCTCCAGCCCCCATTGCCACCAGCGTGGCCAGACCACTGGGCCTGCTGCTGGTAGCGCCGAGGAGAGTTTCGGCGACGCCCGACGACTCGCGCTCTTGTTGAGGCACGGGAGAATGGGGCCGGGACTGACGGCGGTCTGGCGACGGAGGATGGGACGTCTGCGCCACCGGGCCCGCCTGCAACGCAACAGGAGCAGTCGAGTCCACGGCCAGAGGTGCGACCATCGGGGCAGGGCCGCCAGTGGTGGCGGACGCCGCCTTCGGTGACAAAGCAGATTCCGGCGCAGGCACGCCGAGAACAGAAGCGGCCGGAACAGCGGGCGCGCCAGGGACAGACGCAGGGTGAGCAGCAAAACTCTCGGGGGAAGCAGGCGCGACCGGCGCAGCAGAGGGAACGAGGGGAACAGGAGTAGCATCGCGAGCGGACACGCCAAGTGGTGCCGCGAGGTTCGGGACCTCTGGCGGCGGGACAGCAGGAGCAGACTTCCCCTCGGGAGGAGGCGCCTCAACAGTCGCGGGAGCCAGGGCAGCAGGAAGAGCAAGTAATGGTACGTGATGCGGCGACATCTCCGCAGCCGCCCGCGCAAATGCCGATACAACCGGAGGAGCAGCCACAGCAGACGCCACGACAAAGGGCAGTGGCGGATAATGCATCCCGTCGCCTAGTGCCACAGGCATCTTGGGCCGGACGAGGCGGAGGTCGCAGAGGCACAGCTGGACGGGGAGGAGGACCCGAGAACGGTTTCCAAAGAGCGGCAGGGCGGGCTTTAAGACGGGCTAATAACGAGGAGGCGAGGGACCCTACTTATATAGCACCAACAGCAGCTGAATCAACAACGGAGGAATCAGGAGGGGTTGACGAGGAAGCGGAAGGACACCGCCGAGCAAACCCAACACCAAGCCGGGCTCCAAACAGGCCACCCTCGGGTGGAGGGGAGCAGGACCCACTGGCACCGGACACCACCGCGCCGCCCCCACAAACCCGCCAATTCTCGCCTGAGCAATTGGCGAGGGACGATGCGCGGTTCAACGAAATTGGAAATTGGGATCTGTCCCCCCTACGCGACAGTCGTCAGCCCCCACTGTCGCGAAAACTACCCGCTGACATTCGCCCCCTTTTCGCATCGGCCCTTCTGACACCACTGCTCCGCCTCGCGCGTTACCCTGACTCAGTCGCAGGATGGCGTCTGTTACTCTTTCTCCCGCGCCTAACACTACGCCTGCCCTCAACGGAGAAGCCCGATTGGCCGGCTGTGAAGCAGCGACTGCGCCAATTTCTCAAGGGCGAATGGACGCAGCTCTACGATTCCGCAGCAGCCGCGATCAATGGGCCACAACCGCCACGTCACACACCCGACGACCAGGGCAGGCGCGCTAGAGCAGAGGGCCTGACACGCAAGGGAAGCCTACGAAGAGCAATCCTTGCCCTGGAGTCAACTCCGGTCGCTGACCCATCAGCTGACACGCTAGCAGCCCTCAAAGCCAAGCACCCCCGAGCGCCAGCTGGTCTCATCGATTGGACCATCCCCGGTACAGAGCAGCCCGCCTCCATCGACATGGGCGCATTCGTAAAAATATTGTGCCGGTGTGAAAATGGAGTGGGAGGCGGACCTTCGGGAATGACCTTTGAGCACATGAGGGACGCTGCCATCGCAAACAGTGGGGTTACCACACACCTAAACGCGCTCGTCAACACAATCCTAAAGGGCAATCTCCCAGACGAGATCTGCTCGCTCCTTACCGCCTCGCGCCTCATCGCCTTAGCTAAGCCTGGGGGAGGCACTCGCCCCATCGCAGTAGGCGAGTGCATCTTACACATCGCCGCAAAATCTGCACTCGCGTCGTTATCGGAAGCATGCCGGGCCCACTTCCTCCCACTCCAGTACTGCGTATCGGTCCAAGGCGGCAGTGAGGCAATCATTCACACCGCAAGAACCTTCACACACGCGAATCCAGGGGCGCTGATTCTACAGACGGATTTAGCGAACGCCTTCAACTCCATTAGCCGCGCAGCAATAGTAGACGCACTAGGAGGCTCGGGGCTGCAGGGCATTATCCCGCTCACCAGGATATCGTACGGCAAACCGGCCCAGCTTTTCCTAGATGCTGGGTTTGAATGCGAGCCGCTCATCAGCGAGACCGGTGTGCGTCAAGGGGATCCGCTTGGCCCGCTACTCTTCGCCGCCGGGATTCACCCCGCCCTTACCAAAACCGCAGCGGCCTTCCCCTCCGTGATGTGCCTGGCCTTTGCTGACGACGTTACATTCTTGGGCGAGCCGCTGGAATGTTCCAAGGCCTTCTGCGACTTCATAGAGGGCCTGCGCGACGTGGGGTTGCGCCACAACCCAGAGAAATGCGCGGCGTGGAGTGCAGCGGCGGTCGATCCTCAGGTGCTGCCGCAGGGGGTCCCATTTTGTGAGGAGGGCCTGCGGGTGTTGGGGAGCTTCATCGGATCTCAGGAAGGTGCAGCGGCTTTCCTACGCTCGCAACTCGAATCCATGTCTACCCCACTGCCGCACCTCTCACAAATGGACCCCCAAGTAACCTCACTGCTACTGACGCGGTGCATCTCCAGGCGCATATCCTACCTCGCACGCACAACCCTGCTCTACCTGTTACCCGAAGCAGAATGGACCAGGTGGGGCCGGGCCCTGCTACACGCCCTACTTGACGCGTGTGGGGTGCGCCACCCACGAGGAGAGTCGGAAGCCGCGCGGATATGGGACCAGGCATCACTCCCGCCAAGCCTAGGAGGGCTAGGCCTCGCAGACCCAGTGGTAGAGGGTTGGTACAGCTTCCTGGCCAGCCTAGTACAAGCGCACTCCCTCCTCAGCCCCCTCCCAGGCCCGGCGGGGTCTCACCTCACGGCAGCACTACACAGCCTTGAAGCGGCGAACACGAGCCCGAATGCAAAGAGCACAGGCGGTTAGCTTCCTCATGAAGTTGAACCTTGCAGCACAGGCGGAAAACCCTCCCTTAGGAGGACCGGAGGGGGAGCTGAACCCAGGGGACTGTTTTGCAACACTTGAGCCCCCACAGAGGGGCTGCTAGGGAGCATGGGTAGTCACTCACATGTTTGTTTCTGTTGTGTGATAACTATACTCGTTGTACGGCATGTTATATCAATGGAGGACCGTTTGAGAGAGAGAGAGAGAGAGAGAGAGAGAGAGAGAGAGAGAGAGAGAGAGAGAGAGAGAGAGAGAGAGAAAGAGAGAGAGAGATATAGAGAGAGAGAGAGAGAGGGAGGGAGAGAGAGAGAGAGAGAGATGGCTAGGCCTAGTCCTTAGCCGTTTCTAACCCTCTCTAGTGTAGGATCTTGTCCTTAGCCGTTTTTCAGCCCAGTACCTAGTATATAGGCCCTAGATGCTCCCTTCTGAGCTCATTCTTCACTGGTGAGTTCAGTTTACTCTCCAAAACCGGCGGCTCGCGCCGGAGAGAGAGCGAGAGAGAGAGAGAGAGAGAGAGAGAGAGAGAGAGAGAGAGAGAGAGAGAGAGAGAGAGATGGCTAGGCCTAGTCCTTAGCCGTTTCTAACCCTCTCTAGTGTAGGATCTTGTCCTTAGCCGTTTTTCAGCCCAGTACCTAGTATATAGGCCCTAGATGCTCCCTTCTGAGCTCATTCTTCACTGGTGAGTTCAGTTTACTCTCCAAAACCGGCGGCTCGCGCCGGCCGCCTACGGCGGCCGCCGCTCGCCAGCGCGGCCTTCGGCCGCGCGTGAGGTGTGGCAAGGACAGGGGACGACAAGAATTATAACAACAAGTGGTACAACATGCGGTGGTAGTAACCTACAGCAACAACAGCACCCCCGGGCGTGCCTACACCGCCATGGGGAAGCCCAAGGCCAAGCCCACCGCCACGGGTGCTGGCAAGGGGAAAACATCGGCTACTCGGCGAGTATCCAGCACAGCCTCCCGTCCATCCAACGCAGGACGGATGCGGCTGCTGATACAAGGCCAAGGGGGGCCTGCTGAGTGGACTCTGCAAGCCGCATCATTGCCCCAGGCCCGGGCCCGAGCGCTGCACCAGGTGCGCCAGGGACAAGACCGATCAAGGGGAGATAATGCAGCATCTCCGTTGCTGCTGCCACTGCCGCCGACTGCTCCGACGGTACCATCCCCCCAACGGCGAGACTCTGGCGCGCCAAACACATATGGAGCTGGTCCAGGACGTACGACAGCAAAGTCAGACACGTCCCCACGTGCATTACGTGCTGCTCGATGTGGAGTGGCGTCGCAGCAACAGGAGCAGCGGCAGCACGAGGGGCTCGCGGGATGGGAGGGAACGGCTGCACTTGGGGAGCTGGCGGCTGATGCAGCTGGGGCTGGGGCAGCGGAAACTGGTTTGGCGGCGGCTGCTGATGCTGCTGAGGCCGAGGGTGCGGCGCTGCTGGAGGAGACTGACGCAGCTGCTGCGGCTGAGGGGACGAGGATGGCGCAGGAGGGGACACAAACGGCTGGGACGGTGTGGGGAGTGTCCGCTGCCGAGACTGCTGCCGCCTCTGACTGCGGCTTAACCTCGCCGGCTGTGGTGCGACCGCCTGAACCGCTGCTACCTGAGGGGGGGGGTGGGACCGCGGAGGAGTGTCAAATGGTACCGGAGTCGGCTGCATCCCCGTCACCGCTGGGGACGGCTGAGGTTGCTGCGGTCGTGGTTGAGGCAGGGAGGCGACAGCAACTACCCCCGAACGAAGAGACGGCGCCGCCTGCCGCTGAGTCCGCCGGAACCTCTGCTGGTGCCGGGGGCGTAAACATGCAGGGACACGGCCGGGCGGGGAGTGGTAGACCGGTTCCCGGGACTGGCGTTGCCTCTTGCGCCGCTCGCGGGAAGAAGCTCCGCGCCCAGCCAGCACCGAGGCGGCCTGGAGCAGGGCTGGGACCTGGCGTCCCGGGACCCCTCCTGGGCTGGCTGCTGCAAGGGCAGTCGCCACAAGGGCCAGCACGTCCGCCGCCATCTCACGTCGAAGCGGCTGTGGCGACCTCCACCGCGCAGACAACGACGCAGGCCGCGCCGACGCAGGCGCCGGGAAACCAAGTCCGCGCCACCAATGGGGCCCGGCAGTGACAGATACGACAGCGGCAGCAACAGGCCCGAACGTAGCGGTAGAGGCTGTAGGGACCAGGAGGTCGGCACGGCTGGGAGCGATAACCTGGGGACCACCACGGGGAGGCCGCACGCCGTGGATGCCGGCGGGCCGCGGTGGCAACGGAGCGGCTGAAACGGCGGGAGCGGCTGGGCGGGGACAACGAGGGGTTTTGGGCGGGGGGATGAGAGGCAGACGGGGAGGGCGCAACCAACAACCCAGATCGGAGATCCCCGTGAGGACTGGCCCCTGGCGGGAGCGTCACGCCAGGCCTGAGAGAGCGATCCCGCAGACGAATGAGGGACAGGAGGTTTCTGACAACTCCAGGGCCGACCCTGAATTTATGGCTGGGGAGGAGGAGACCTCGGAAAAAATCTCGTTGGAAGACGAGGAGGCACCCAGGAGGAGGAACAACCCTGAACCTCAAACTCGACTGGCGGCGGGGGGTATTCCCAGCAACCCAGTGGAAGGAGAAGCACCTGCCACGGAGGAGACTGATGTGCCTTCACCGGCCGACCTGGCCGGCGATGACGCCATCTGGCACATGGCGGGGGAGTGGGATGTCAACGTGCTTCAGCGAGGGGACCAGCCATTCCTCGTCCGCCGGCTGCCACCACACATCCTGGACATATACTGTCTGTGCCTGCTGGCAGCACTCTTTCGCCTAGATAAAAACCCCAGCTGCTCAGGTGGTTGGACGGTGCTGCTGTTCCTTCCGAGGCTCACCCTCAGGCCTGCGCCCGAACCTGTCTTCGGGAGTCGCTGGGCTGCAATTGAAGCTAGGTTGCACAAATTCCAACGAGGCGAGTGGTCTGGGCTTTTCGAGGAAGCGGGATTCATCCCCGAGACAGGAGCCTCGGTACGGCACCAGCCTGACGAGGAAGGGGTTTGCGCTAGAGCGGAGGGGTTAGTGAAAAAAGGGAATATCTCGAAAGCAGTGGCAGCTCTCCGAACGTGCCCCCTAGCAGAACCATCCCCGGCTACACTCGAAGCGCTGCAAGCGAAACATCCTGCAGCGGGTAGTCAGATACCAGCGTGGGTTACCGGAGTCACAGAGTCTGAACTGGCGGTTTCGCCGGATTCACTTCGCGAAATCTTGGCGAAGTGCCCGAATGGTGTTGGAGCGGGACCTTCTGGGACTTGTTTTGAACACCTCAGAGACCCCGCCTTAGCCAACGAGAAGCTGCTGCTGCTTTTCGCCAAGATGGTAAATCGGCTGCTCAGCACTTTCCAGGCCTCCCACGTAAGGAAATTGCTACTGCCTTCCCGTCTGATCGCTCTAGAGAAGCCAAATGGGGGAGTGCGGCCCATAGCGATAGGCGAAACCCTGCTACGCATAGTGGCGAAGGCGTCGCTTCATACCCAAGGGCCCAAGATAAGGGATTTTTTATTACCAGTTCAGTTTGGAGTGGCGGTTCCAGGAGGTGCGGAGTGCATCATCCACACGGTCCGCTCTCTACTCCGTGAGAAAAAGACCCGCATCGCTCTCCAGCTAGACATCGAAAATGCCTTCAACAGTGTCGAGCGAAGGGCTTTCCTAAGCTCGTTGCAGTGGTCCAACCTGAGCCCGCTACTTCCCCTGGTCCGAAATCTGTACGACGGTCCATCGCCTCTGCTCGTAGATGCTCGACTGGGAGTAGACCAAATCCAGAGCACACGTGGCGTCAGACAGGGAGATCCCTTGGGCCCTCTCTTGTTCGCGGCAGCGATCCAGCCCGCCCTCTTGAGCGTCTCGGCGACTACACCGGAAGTGGCAGTGGTAGCCTACGCGGACGACATCACCATTATCGGCCAACGGGAAGCAGCGTGCCGTGCTTTCACCAAGATAGCGGGCGACTTGGCCGAATATGGACTACGCTGCAACATTTCAAAGTCATCGGCATAGGGAGCGGAGCACGACGGAGATAACAAGGAGCTACCACTAGGCTTGGTGGCGGACCCGGGCGGGATACGGGTCCTTGGCAGCCCTATCGGCAGCGACGTCTTCTGCACTGCCCAAGTCCGGGCGGCACTGGGGGAAGCTGCCTCGCCCCTTCCCCTTGTCTCTCAGCTAAACCCGCAACATGCCATGCTCATAATCTCCCGCAGCATATCCCGGCGCATCTCATACATGCTGAGGACGACGCCGGCGACGACCTTGGGCGCTGAGGAGTGGAGGGACTGGAGTGAGGCATTGGTTGGCTCGGCGCTCACAGCTGCAAAGCTCCGCATCCCCAACTCGGAGCTGAAGCAGAGCTTACTGTGGCGACAGGCCACCCTCCCGATTCGGCTGGGCGGTCTGGGAATCATTGACCCTGTCTCTGAGGCCCCGGCCGCCTACATCGCTTCTGTCACGGCGGCGCACATCCTTCTGCAGCACCTGAATCTTCCTCCGGACTGCCTGCTACACAGAGCAACGGCCCTGCTCTCCCACGATTGGAGCCCACCACCGCCGGACAGCAGCACACTGTCAAGCTTAGAGAAGGGGCTGCCAGCCCAGGCACAGGTGGCGCTGGGAGCCTACAGGACGGGGAACAAGGGCACAGGCAGCCTCCAGCTGTGCATCTCCAAGATAATCAACCAGCGGCGGGCGGTCGAGCTCCTGGGGGACACGGTGGCGGACAGGCCTGGCACCAACAGAGGTCACGCGCTGAGACTGATAAGCCTGAGAGGGACTGGCGCGGGCGACTGGCTACATGCGGTACCGACGAGAGCTGACCTCTCTATTTCCCCTGGTCAGTTCTCGTTGGCCTTGGGCCTACGCCTGGGCATGGAGTTGCCAGTAGCTGACGTGTGCCCGTGCAAACGTGACAACGCGGCGATCGGGGACAAGAGTTTGCCGAACCACCTGCTGCGCTGCCAGGACGGGGGTGATGCCGTCAGGACCCACAACGCCCTAGTCTATGCGGCGCTGCGGATTGCTAAACGGATGTCACCGTGACAGACCCAGTTTTACAGAACAGAGACAGCAGGGCCCGCAGGCCGCCTGGGTGGGCCGCGGAGGAAGCCTCACAGCGGAAGCATCGGCTATACAAAGGGCGCCCCACCTATGCCGGATTCTTTGGACTGGCTGTCGAGACCTACGGGGCCATGGCGGCAGACACAGTCCAGTTCCTTCGCATGCTGGCTACCCACGCGGCGAAGACGAAGTTCAGACAGGGGCGCCTCACAACAACGGCAGCTCGGCTCACTGCACACTACCGCCAAAGGTGGTCGGTGATGCTGCAGCGCAGCCAAGCCATCTCACTCCTCTCTAAGTCCAACCGAGCAGCCGAAGCGGCATTCCCGCAGGCTGCAGGAGACCCCTGGGCCCCACGGCTAGGGGACCTCTGGCAGATGGCGGAGGATGAGTATGAGGAGCGGGAGGCTCCTGCCAGGGCGGCTTAGAGGGGCAGGAGGGAAAAGTCGGCGACTGCAGGAAAGTGAGAGGAAGCTCCGGGGGGGCAGGGGGACTTGGGTGGGGTCGGGGGAGCCACAGGACAGGAGGAGAGGGAGGTACTCGGGGGTTTTGGCTCTGCTGCTAGCCGGCCCGCTAAGATGTTAGGGGACAGGGCCGTACACAAACGGCATGCCCGCTTGGCTTGCACTGCTTGGCTTGCCTTGCTTGCCCATATGCTTGCCTGTTCGCTTGCATGCTCTGTTTGCTAGCTCTTAGGTTTCCTGGCTGCCTACAGGCCCAGACAAACTAGCTACAGCCATCTCCTGCCATGTCTGTACCTCGTGACCACTATCAATACATGACTACTTGAGAGAGAGAGAGAGAGAGAGAGAGAGAGAGAGAGAGAGAGAGAGAGAGAGAGAGAGAGAGAGAGAGAGAGAGAGAGAGAGAGAGAGGCCCTAGGAGCTAGTCCTTAGCCTCTCCAGCACTCTTCAGACTAGTATAAAGTGCCCCTCTGCAGCTAGTTCTCTTCATTGTTCGATTTCCTTTTCATTTGTTTCTCCTAACCGAGCGGCTCGCGCCGGCCGCCTTCGGCGGCCGACGCTCAACAGCGCGGCCTTCAGCCGCGCGTGAGGGAACGACAAGCACACAACACACAGAGTTGCTCGCAAAAGGCATACAAACATGGCAAGCCCTACAGCGGCCTAGCCGCGCAAACCACTAATGGCAGAGCCGGGGCCCGCGCCTACATGCGGTGAGCTCCTAGGGCGTGAAGAATGCCCGTCAGGGAGCGCCACAGCTCCCGGACCACAAGCGTGCTTGCGCCGATCGCGGCGGCTCCAGACCCAGCACGCAAATGGCGCCGCAAGCCGCGCACAGCCTCATCAAGCGGCCCCGCCGCCGCAACGCCTCCCTCGGCGGGCGCAACCAGCACGGGCGCCAGCAGCCCTGCAAGCTGATCGGCGGCGTCCAGACAAGTCTCGCGTTGACGATCCAGGAACAACTCAGGGGGGGCCGCAGGGAGGGACGAATGAGCGACAACCTGTATCAGAAGCAGTGCGTGAAAGCTCTCTGCGAGACGGAAGAGCTGGCCGAGGGTCGCCTCCGGAACACGGGCCTGAGGGGGTTGCAGCGCCTGCGCAAGGAACTGGAATGGCTCCGCAACGGCAAGAGGAGCCGGGCCAACTGCCGTCACCGCTCCGCCTCCCACGGCCACAAATTCTACTCCTGCCACGGGCGGGACTGCCGGCAAATGCAACCGCGACCCTGGAACGGGAGCAGTCGCAGCAGCAGCGGGAGGGGATGGGGCCGGAACACGGGATTGGACGAGTACAGCAGGAGGCGGAACCTCAGGAGGCGCCGCCTGGCGCTGAGCGGCATGGGCGACGGCAACGTGCGAGCTGCCTTGTGTCTGAGCAGCCCTCTCTTCACGCATCACGCAGCCCACTAGTGGGTGGTCGGTCATGGCATCATTCCTGTTACATGTGCACTGAATGGCGCTTCGCCACTGTGGATACTTGTTATCTGTTTGTTAGCTGTTCGTTAGCTGTCGACCGCCAACCTCCATTCTCATGTTCCTCAAGTGTGTCCTCTTTGACACCTCCCAGTTCCAGGCGACCCCTGCTGCCAGAGCAGCTACAAGGGCGATGGGGATTCGCAGCCCAGTATGAACCCGTGCGGTCGCTTCCGTGCGGTCAATTTCCAGCAGCTTGAGGCGAATTTTTAACTAAGCCCCCAACGACTACCGTAATCATCCGGATATCAGACGGTTCTACAATACGGATATGGGTCTAAACTGCGGAGAGTCACTCGACCAAGATAGTGAGCTAGACAACAGGGGTTGGCACGAACTACTAGGAGTGATCGTAGCTTTGCTTGGTTCCTTAGTGCTTGCACATTCACGTGAGAAATTGGCAAGAGTTTCCACTAGCAAAATCGATATTCGAGAATGGTTGAACCAGCAATGACAACAATGCCTACATCAAGCACCTAGCAACTCTGCAGCTAGTCTGGTCGACCGCCAGCACAGCATGGTCGACCGTCTGCCAGCGTTGCGTAGAGGAGCCGCGCCAGCACTGCAGAAGCGCGACCTGCCAACGCAGCAGGTCGACGGCGTGCCAACGCTGCAGCAGAGCGGCTGTCCAACGTTGCACTCGTAGAGCACAGCAGTGCGCACGCTCGCAGGTGCGCGCAGACAATTGGCCCGACTTGCATTGCTGTACAACCGTCGGCCCTAGTCTGCGCCTAACGAGCCACATCGACTTTGGGATACCAGCCCGAAGTCGCCTTCGTTCATTGCGACCTCGACGATGTTCGCGTGCCTCCGTAGAACTCGCCGAACACGTTACCCGGTCGACCTGGTCGACCCCCAAGTGCTCTCGTCCACCCCCAGGTGTCTCCGGTCGACCACCAGGTCCCTCTGGTCGACCACAGCTCCCGTCGAGCTACCCCCTGGTCGACGGACCCCTTCCGCCGACCAGAAACGTCAGCGGTTGTCGCCGAGCTCCCCTCGTCGACCGCTGCTCACTTGTCAGGTCGACGAACTGCTCCGTTGACCTCCCGGTCGAGCTCAGGTCCTGGTCGACGGCCCATCCGTTGCCTAGACCAGCCAGTTGCAGCTGTCGAGCTCCTTGATCGACAGCAACACCACAGCGGTCCCCGGCAGCTCGACGAAGCCCGTCGAGCAGCTCTTGTCAGATTTATATGACATAGCTGTTGTAGGCTATAGTGGGGTAGCACATATGGGGTGCGACTTTTCTAGGGTTTGTACTTGTACCCAACTTTCCCTTAGACAATTCATTCTCGTTCATTTTCTCATCGTATCGAGCAGGTTCCCCTGTGGGAACCGTTCCTAAGGCCCACCACCTTTTTTTCCTGCCCGGAGCGCGCTCTACTCTGCCCGAGTCGCGCTTCCCTCTTTCGACCCTGTCGCGCCGCCTTAGCGGCCCCGTCGCGACGAGCTTGCGGCCCCGTCGCGTCGCCCTCACGGCCCCGTCACGTCGCGCCGCCCTTGCGGCCCCAATCCGCCGCCCTCGCAGCCTGTTCGCGCCGCCCTCGCGGCCCTTTCGTGCCGCCCTCGCGGCCTCTTCAAGCCGCCCTCGGTCGGGCCATTGACTTTGACGTCTGGTTAGATGACCTGCAGCTTTTCCTACAGTGCGATAGGGCAGACGGTCTCTCCCTCTTTGACCTCACTTCTGGTGCCTCTCCTGCCCCTGGTGCTGATGATGGCGCCAGTGTTCGCTCACAGTGGGCCACACGCGATGCTGCTGCACGTCTTGCTGTGCGTCGCCACCTGCCTACCTCTGAGCATGCGCACTTTAGCCAGTACAAGAGTGCTCAGACCTTGTACGACGCTGTAGTTGCACGCTACTCCTCCCCTGCCACTGCTGCACTGAGCCGCCTCATGCTACCGTACCTCTTCCCTGACCTTGCTTCCTTTCCTACAGTCACTTACCTCATTACGCACCTCCGCACTAGTGACACTCGCTACCGCGCTGCGCTTCCTGCTGAGTTCTGCGCCAAGAACCCCCCCCCCATGTACATCACCGTCTACTACATAGTCACCCGACTCCCTGACTCTCTCCGCGTAGTCAGAGACCTCTTCCTCTCAGTTTGCCCCACCACTCTCACCGTTGACCTCCTCGAGAAGGCCCTCCTGGCGGCAGAGAAGAGCATAGTCGCAGTAGGAGCCTCTCGTGGTGACCCTCGCACCCCCGTCTTTGAGGGGTGTTCCCCCTCCCCCCTTTTGCCCTCTGTTGCTTCTGCTGCTGCGGCCGACCTCGTTGGTCTCGAGTCGATCGGCCCTGCGTCTGCCCCGAGCGGGAGACGCCGCACCGACAAGGGCAAGGGGGGCAAGGGCGCTGGAGGGGGTGGCGGGGGTGGCGGAGGTGGCGGTGGCGGCACTGGAGGGGGTGGGGGTGGTGGTGGGAGTGGTGGTAGGGGTGGAAGTGTCAGTGGCGCCAGTGGAGGCGGAGGCGGCGGTGGCGGTGGGGGCGGAGGTAGCGGGGGTGGCGGTGGAGGAGGAGGCGGCGGCGGAGGAGGCGGATCTGGTCGGGGTGGCGCTGCGCAGAGGGTCGGCTCCGGTGGTGGTCAGCGCCAGCAGCAGCAGCGCACTCGTGACGTCCCCCCCCCTCAGCAGCTCCGTGAGTGGTATGCTGCACGCCAGCGGGGTGGGGGTACTTGTCCGTGCACCTACGTCCTACGCACCGGCCACCGCGCGGTTGAGTAGTGCGGGGGTGCGCACTCCACCCAGCGCTGCCCTGGTTGCCTCACGAACGCTTGGCGTCACGAGTTCCCTGAGGCCACTGAGATCCCTCGCTGGGGCGAGCTGTCTAGGGCGGGAGTAGCTATCTTTGACCTTGACTTTGATGCTATTCTTGCTACCATGTATGCTGTGACTATTAGTGATGAGGGTGAATGTTACCGGTGTTTCCCGCCTGACCCGGGTATTGAGACTGCTGCTCTAGGGACTGGTGAGGCTGCTGCTCTAGGTACTAGCGAGGCTGTTGCTCTAGGTGCCAGTGCGTCTGCTTCCTCGGGTGCTGGTGAGTCTGCTCTCTCAGGTACCGCGTCGGCTTCAGCCTCCCACACCTTCACCCTTTACTCGGGGGCTTCTCGCTCCTTCTTTGGAGACCGCACCACACTCACGCCGCTTGGTCGGCCAGTTGCAGTCTCTCTGGCAGACCCCTCTGGGGGTCCAGTCCTTGCTCACTTCTCCACTGTCCTCCCGTGTCCGGCGGCCCCCTCTGGCACCCTGTCTGGTCTTTACCTCCCCTCGTTCTCTACGAACTTGGTGAGTGGTGCTGACCTACAGGATGCGGGGGTTCACCAGTTCACTCCTGCGAGTCAGCGGGTGACCCACTGCACGGACGCTCCGACAACCCGACACCTGTACCCTGTGGTATAACGCGAGTAGTACTCGGGGGCTTTACCACGTCGGCTTCGGCCTCCCACACCTTTACCCTTTACTCGTCGGCTAAAGCCCGCGTCTGTGGACAGGGTCACAAGCGCTACTTCTTGCTGGTGGTTGACGACTACTCGCGTTATACCACAGTCTTCCCCTTGCGCAACAAGGGTGATGTCACTGAGGTGTTGATCGACTGGATCCGCGCAGCTCGTCTCCAGCTCAGGCAGAGCTTCGGCTCGGACTTTCCTGTTTGGCGTCTGCACTCTGACAGAGGCGGAGAGTTCTCCTTTGTCCTTCTGCGAGCCTACTGTCGTGCACGAGGCATCCGCCATACCTTTACGCTTCCGGACTCTCCACAGCAAAATGGGATTGCTGAGCGCCGCATTGGCATGGTCATGGACGTCGCCCGTACGTCCATGATGCATGCAGCTGCCCCCCATTTTCTGTGGCCGTTTGTGGTTCGGTACGCGGCGCATCAGATCAACCTTCAGCCCAGGGTCTCCATGCCGGAGACCTCCCCAGCTTTGCTGTGGACGGGGAAGATTGGCAATGCGTCTGCGTTCCGTGTCTGGGGATCTCGGGCGTTTGTCCGCGACTTGTCTGCGAACAAGCTGTCCCCTCGTGCTGCTCCCTGCGTCTTCCTTGGCTTCCCCCCTAACGCACCTGGGTGGCAGTTCTACCACCCCACCTCTCGCCGTGTTCTGTCCTCCCAGGACGTCACGTTTGACGAGTCGGTCCCCTACTACCGCCACTTCCCCTACCGCACTCCGTCCCTCCCCCCGCCACCGCTCTTCCTTGTGCCAGGTCCCCCCCTGTGGACCCCCTCCCCCCTCAGGGTCCTGCCCCTTCAGGTGTGCCCCGGGTAGAGGCAGCCGAGCCTGTCGAGGTTGCTGGTGACTCTGGTGCTGCTGAGGGTGCTGAGCCTGGGGGTGCTGACTCTGGGGGTGCTGAGCGTGTGGGTGCTACGCCTGGAGGTGCTGAGCCTGAGGGTGCTACTACTGGGGGTGCTGAGCCTTGGGGTGCTGAGCCTGGGGGTGCTACGCTTGGGGGTGCTGAGCCTTGGGGTGCTACGACAAGGGGTGCTGAGCCTGGGGGTGCTACGCCTAGAGGTGCTGAGCCTGGGGGTGCGGAGTCTGAGAGAGCTGGGCCTGCTCGTGTCGCGTCTGGCGGTACTGTGCGTGGAGGTTCTCCGAGTGCTTCGTCTCGGTGGGAGCCACTCTCTCCACAGGAGCTGCGCGAGTGGTTTGCCCGGCGCTGGCGGCGTGCTGCTGGAGCTGGAGGTTCTTCGGCTACTAAGGGTGCTGGTGTCGCGGGTCCCGGAGGTGCTCGTACTGGGAGTACTGGAGCTACTGGGCCTGCGGGTACGACTGGAGCTGGAGCTGCTGAGGGTGTTGGCGCTAAGGCTACTGCTGTCGGTCCTGGAGGCGGTCCTGTTGGGGGTGCTACTGGTGCTGCTGGAGGTCCAGGAGCTACTGGAGCTGCTGGGGGTGCTGGAGCTGGAGGTGCTGCTGGCATTGGTGCTACCACTGGGGGTACTGGTGCTGTCTCTGCTGTGTCTGGAGTCGCCGCGCGGCCTCGGCTGTACTTCGTTCCGCTCCTTCAGCAGGTTCTTGGTCTTTCGTCTTTTAGTGGTCCTCCTCCTCCCTTAGAGTGTCCAGAGCCTATCCCGTCACAGTTAAAGTTATTGCCGGCCTCCCCACTGCGTGCTCCTTATCCCTACACTAGTCCTACTGGAGGTCTTGCTGAGCGTCGTGAGCCTGCGTCTCACCCTGCGTCGCCTGTCCGTCCTGCTCGCACTAGTGGTCGTGGTTTGCGTCAGCGTCCTCCTCCTGTCCCTGGCACGCACCGGATGTCTCTGCGTCCGTCTACTGCTCCTCTGTGTGCCCCTTTGCCTTCTCCTCCTAAGTCCTCGCTTCCTACTCTTGCCGACTCGGAGTCGAACTCTCTTCGTGCTGCCAGTCCTACTGTCACGCGTCTCCTTGCTACTGTCGTCACTGACCCTTCCTTTGAGTCCACTGCTGCGTCTGCCCTAGTTGCTGAGCTCGTCGACTTTGCTGCTCGCTGTCGTCTAGACTACGCTGCTAGTCTTGTCGCTGAGTCAGAGTCTATCTGTCCTCCGTCCGTCGGGGGTGAGTGTGCTCTTGGCACGGACGTCCTTGAGGACAGGCAAGAGGAGTTCCAGTGTCTGGCTGCTGCTTCACCTCATCTCATGTCCATACTGCTTACCCCTGAGGGAGACCCGGATGCACTTGACATCCCGACTCCGCGCTCTTACGCGGAGGCGATAGAGGGTCCCTACTCCTCTCAGTGGCAGGCAGCTATGGACACAGAGATGGCTTCCTGGAAGTCCACAGGCACCTACATTGACGGTGTCCCCCCTCCTGGGGCGAACATCGTTAGTGGCATGTGGATTTTCAGGGTGAAGCGGCCGCCGGGTTCTCCGCCTGTCTTCAAGGCGCGTTATGTGGCTCGTGGATTCAGTCAACGGCAGGGAGTTGACTACTTTCATACCTTCTCTCCCACCCCGAAGATGACCACTCTTTGGGTACTGCTGCACATAGCTGCTCACCGTGACTACGAGCTGCACTCTCTTGACTTCAGCACTACTTTCTTGCAGGGCAGCCTGCACGAGGAGATCTGGCTGCGTCGCCCACCTGGCTTCACTGGGTCTTTTCCTCCTGGCACCCAGTGGAGCCTCCGGCGGCCAGTCTATGGTCTCCGCCAGGCACCGCGTGAGTGGCACGACACACTGAGGACTACACTTGCGGCTCTTGGGTTTGCTCCCTCTATTGCCGACCTGTCGCTGTTTCTGCGCACCAACACTTCTTGCCGCCATTCTACATCCTCGTGTACGTCGACGACTTGGTCTTTGCCACAGCTGACAGTGTTGGACTCGCCCACGTGAAGTCCGAGCTGCAGAAGAGACACACGTGCACACACCTGGGTGAACTGCGTAGCTACCTTGGCCTGCAGATCACCCGGGACAGAGCACGCCGCACCATTACCCTGACTCAGTCACACATGGTGCAGCAGGTCCTTCCTCGCTTCGGCTTTACGTACTCCTCGCCTCAGGCCACTCCTCTGCCTACTCGCCACTCGCTCTCAGCTCTGCCTTCGGATGAGTCCGTAGAGCCGAGTGGCCCGTACCTAGAGCTTGTTGGCTGCCTCATGTACCTGATGACCTGCACACGACCTGACCTTGCATACCCTCTTAGCATCTTGGCACGCTATGTTGCTCCTGGGAGACACAGACCAGAGCACATGGCTGCAACGAAGGTGTTGCGCTACTTGTGCAGTACGTCGGGCATGGGGCTTGTGCTTGGAGGGCAGAGTCCAGTGGTCCTCACTGGGCACGCAGACGCTTCTTGGGCTGACGACCAGGCTACGCAGCGGTCGTCACAGGGTTACACCTTCAGCCTTGGTTCCGGCTCTGTTTCGTGGCGGGCTACCCGCTCGTCTTCTGTTTTCGGCTCCAGTTGTGAGGCTGAGATCTACGCTGGAGCCATGGCTGCACAGGAGCTTCGCTGGCTCACCTACGTGCTTACTGACCTCGGAGAGCCGCCTCGTTCTCCTCCTGTGCTGTACGTAGACAACAAGGCCATGCTGGCCTTGTGTCGGGAGCAGAGACTGGAGCACAGAACGAAGCACATTGCTCTTCGCTACTTCCTTGCTTGTGAGCTACAGCAGCGTGGTCAGCTGCGCCTTGCGTACGTGGCCTCTGAGGCCAACACTGCTGATATCTTCACCAACGCGCTTGCGCCTTGTGATCATCAGCGCTTCTGTACTCAGCTGGGTCTTGTGCTTGCCTTGCCTCACTTGCTCACCACTTGACCTTGTTTGTACTGTTACATATATATATATATATATATACACCTGCTCTTGCTTGTCTAGCCTTATATATATGTGTGTAATCCTGCATGTGAACTGGCCTTGTGGCCTTGTTGTTGTGCTCGGACTGTGTGGTGACTTTGTGATCCACCCTGAGCTTGCTTTTCTTTGCTTGACTGGTCTTGTGACCCCTTGTTCTTCCCCACTTTGCCTCTGGGGGTGTGTTAGATTTATATGACATAGCTGTTGTAGGCTATAATAGGGTAGCACATATGGGGTACGACTTTTCTAGGGTTTGTACTTGTACCCAACTTTCCCTTAGTCAATTCATTCTCGTTCATTTTCTCAGCTCTCCCACTGTGAATGGTCGGCTGCTACTCCCGTACACCCGACCAAGTAATCGGCGTTGCCCAAGCGAGGGCACGGCCAACAGTCCACTCTCGTTAACATAAACATGATAAAACTCCCCTCCTTGGCATCAGATACTGCCACAATTTTTCATTTCATTTAATAAAACACTATTTATATTACCCATAATACAAATTCATGCCCTAAAAGAGTTCACAAAAGGTCCCAATGAGAATTCCATATGTCTTCTACCCATATTTATATGTGGTTTTCATAGTGATGTGCCCTTGGCTGGAGACTCAAATATAACTATTTAAGATATGACATTGTCATAAGGCACGTATCTTATATAGTTAGTACGATGTGGTAAGAAAACATCTTTAAAAGGTTTCTTGTAGCTTTTATAAGACCCTATGGTCTTATATTCGGGTGATTACGGTTATTGTTATGTTACCGTTTGGAAATATTGTTATGTTTGCATTTTTGCAATAACATGGATTAATGCTTATCAATTAGTTAAGTTGGAAAATATATACATTTGGACACGAATGCAATATTTTACTTAATATATTACTAAGCGCGCTTTGTTTTTTGAATAATTTGGAACATCACATATACACTGTTTTAAAATCACAAAATTATGTAGTGTATTTGAGGAAGGCAACTCCCCTAGGATATAACAGACTGCCTATTGTGTAGTTTTTTATTCCAACGGGCAGTCGTTTTGAGAGTGCATCGTTTTGCGATCGCGCCCAAATCTCAATAGTAAATTATTTTGCATTTTTCCAATTCGTTTTACCAAATGTGTCAAAGGGCAAGTACGAATTTGACCTGGTTCCAGTTTAGTCTCCAGTGGCAAAAATTAACCCCTTTCAGATGACAAGCCATTTGGGAGGCATGAACTCTAAACGCATTGTCTCATGGTGTTTATGGTTGATGCCTTGTACTTGCCATGATGTCCAAGTAGCTTTTTTTTTCCCAGCTGCGATCTGTCTTTTTTACGAGACAAAATCATTTTAAATACCCCATACAAAAACAACAATCTGTTTTTCTGGACTCAAAAAGGGAAATTGCAAAATCATATACCTCAAGGAACTGGACGCGAGTGTAAAGCAAGGCGCTGTAAACACCACTGCCGAAAGGAATTGGAAACGAGAAAACAGGGCGATTTGTCATTTCCTCCCACTTCCCGCTGACTACATCGACGGTAACAGCGGCGCGATTCGGCTTCCAACGCCGTTTGTGTGTCAGATAATATTTGTTGTTGCTGGGCAGGCAGGACAGCCATTTGGTTTTCTCGGAATACAGTACACCTCCACACAGCCCACATAACAACCAACCAATATAGTCCGTAGGTACTTCAAAAACTTAAATGCTGGACTGATTGAGCACTGACAAACTTGGTACAAACCGAAGGAAGACTTGTGCCAAAAACTATCCAACTCAGCAACATTTTGGTGTGGGTGCAGCAAACAGAGTCGCAAGCCGCGCCACCGCGACAAATTCGATGGAGACATGAAGGGGGCGGACTGACGGTGGCGGCGGTGGAAATTGGGGAAGGACCAGGAAGATGGGATGGGATGGTAAGGGTGGGAGGGAGATCGGGAGGGGATGGGATGGGTGGGATGGGGTGGGATGAGAGGCGGTTTTGGGAATGGGGTCAGATGGAAATTGGGACGGGGTGGCTGGTAACGAGGAAAAGCACCACACCAACGGCAGCTGTGATGCTTGTGCACCTGCTATAAGTAGGCCTAACAATGACGAGTCAAGCCACAGGTAGCATTATTAGTGGATAGGCCAATCAAACCTTCACTACTCACGACGGCCTTTGCAGAAGCGTGCTTCTATAGCCCATCGAAGCTCGCGGACACGATCCTCCCGCTCAGTAGTAATAGATTAAGTCTTAATCGCGACACGTTCAGCCGCATAAAATTGCAATTCCAGGCCGAAACAGAATATACATCAAGGCCATATTACCGTTTCCATCAAGTCGTTTCAGCTGCATCGTCCATCTACTCTCGGCCATCGTGTGTTCGCTTCCCTTCCCAAAGCCGATCGCCGATATGATGGCGTCTCGCCTTCCTTATCGGTTACAATCCTCAGCGGTGCTCCTTGTTGCGACGATTACGCTACTGGTACCGCTAACCCTCCCTTTCATTCCGTCAGCTATATTCCCGCGAACTCCCCTCTCGTACCCGCACAGCACCCCGCGTTCCGCGCCGCAGCACCCGTCGTTTTTCGCGCGAGCCGATACCGGCCCAAACGCGACCCTGAAAGCCGGAGCGCGATGCTTGGGATACACGCTCTGGGACCGCGACCAAGGCGCGTCGAAGAACCCCGGGCCCTTCTGCGGCTCGGGTCTGCACTGCGTGTTCTTTAACGGAATCCCCGCTAAGAAACAGAGGAACGTGCATGGCATCGGACGATGCGTACCCGAGGGTCGAACGTGCCCTGAAAGTAAGAATTCCGGGAAAACCGGAGCGTGTGATGGGATGGAGGGAGAAATTGCGCGGGGGAGCGGGGGATAGGCGGGAGTGGGGATGAGTGAAGGGACATAGGCCGATTCGCGAAGGCGGGTGGAGGGGGAAAGGGAGAGGAAGGAACGGGGATGGGTCGGGAGGGATTTTTGGGGAAAAGGGAAGGCCTCCATACGCAACCTGATCCGTGGAATTTTTTCCTGGAAATTTATTTGTTTCTTTCCGGTCGCGATTCTACGGATTTCTGGCGTTCATTCGCATATCGGCTCATCATCTACTGCCTCCTTTCTTCAACAACCCCCTATCATGATCCACACAGCACAAGCACCACCAAGTGCAGTGTGAGAGACTGCACGCAACGCCCGTTCCCCAGTCCTCTCCCTTCCCCTCCTCCCCTTCTCGGCCCCACTCCTGTCCGCCACACCTCCGCCTCACCTCCGCCTCACCTCCACCTTCCGCCCGATTGGGTGTGTTTCAAGAACTTACCATCCCACTAACTGCTTTTATTCCCCTTCCCTTCATCCTGTCGTTTCCCCCTTACCTTCAACCCCTTCCCTACCGTCTACCAGATGTGACGAGCATCAAGTGCGTGAGCGACTGCATGGGGATGGACTATGTGCAGGGCCCGGACTGCGATTCCATCATGGAAAAATGGGTGTGCTACGCTGACGTGTGTGACCAGTGTTGGTAAGTTTTGAGACGTCTAAGAAACTCTACCAGACGTGACGAGCATCAAGTGCGTGAGCGACTGCATGGGGATGGACTATGTGCAGGGCCCGGACTGCGATTCCATCATGGAAAAATGGGTGTGCTACGCTGACGTGTGTGACCAGTGTTGGTAAGTTTTGAGACGTCTAAGAAACTCTACCAGACGTGACGAGCATCAAGTGCGTGAGCGACTGCATGGGGATGGACTATGTGCAGGGCCCGGACTGCGATTCCATCATGGAGAAATGGGTGTGCTACGCTGACGTGTGCGACCAGTGCTGGTACAGCTGCGGGCGTGCGGCGGTGGAACCATGGCATGGGCGCGGGTGTTGTCATAGTAGCCTGCTTGAACTTGCACGCACGTATTGACACAGACACAGATACGCGCGCAGACACACAAGCACATGCACGCATGCGCACACACGCGCACGCGCACACACACACACACACACACACACACACACACACACACACACACACACACACACACACACACACACACACAAACAAAAACAAAGTCATCCACCCAAATCTCCCCCTATCTCTCCCATACGCTTCCCTCCTCCCCCCTCCCACTACTTCGATTCTCAACTTCCATATCTCTTGTCATAGAAACAGAAATTTCTGCATCCATTCCTGCCGCTATCTCCGCAACTCCCATGTGTTGTACCTCCCCACCCCTGCGTTTCACCTACCCATCCCTTCGTTTCACCTCCCCACCCCTGCGGTTCACCTCTCCACCCAGGCGCAAGATGTTCTACAGTGACTACCACTGGCCCATACAGGAGGCTAGCATGTGCGAGCGCACGCAGGGACCGCCCTACCCCTGCCTCTCTGCCACCCAGTTGAATGCCTCCTGCCCTGCTTGCCTTTCGTACAAGCTGCCCACTCGAACATGCTTTGGTGAGGTTTTGTTTTTCTCTCTCCTCCTCCTCTCTCTCTCTCTCTCTCTCTCTCTCTCTCTCTCTCTCTCTCTCTCTCTCTCTCTCTCTCACACACACACACACACACACACAGACACACACTCCTCATTTCCCAACCCTGACCACCCTAAATCTCATATAAAACCCTTCTCAATCCCCCTTTCCTCCTTCCCACCCGTATGGCTGCCATTTCAGTTCCAGATTCCTATTGCCCTAACCGTGGTTGTGCCAAGTCTTACTGCCTCAAGGTTTACAGGAAGGGGTGGACAATTTGTGGCAAGTGTGCTGCAGGCTATAAGAAGGTGAAGGGGGGGCAATGCATGCCTAGTAGGGCATAAGGACGACAATTCTTTTTCAGGATATGTACAGATGTTTGGCTTGATTTAGAGCAGTGCATAAAAGGAGCATAAGTCAAACAGATACTGTGATGATGTCTGGACCTCCTGGACTGAGAAAGCATACTTTCTGTACAAGAACAAATGCATTTCTACAAAATGAAACCCTTGGGATGTAGAAGTGTAAGAATTTTTTTGGCATTCCCTACTGCGTTCTTCAACATCGCGTACAGCAACAGCCGTTGTTCGTCCGTTACTGCTAACGGGGGCTTCGCCAACTTCGCGAGCATTATCTTACCAAACCATGCACAGCTGGCCTGGCCGAGTCGGTATGCTTCGGGACTAATAACCCGAACCTCGATGCCAGGCTAGCAGTAGCTAACTCGCATGCACCGCTTAACCAGGCCCTCAGATTCACTTTTAGGCACGTAAGGGTATCAGGGTCCCTCTGCCCCTAGACCCTGATCGTCAGGGTCGCCTAAAAAAAAAGCCTGAAAGTTCAGTGTTACTTCAAAAAAAAGTCTGATACATCAGTGTTCCCTACAGAAAAAGGCTGATACTAGTACGGTAGTCTTTATTTTACTAGTAGTAAAAACACTAGGAAGGAAGCAAACAGCAGAACGGGATGTGAGGCTGGATGGCAGGTAGCACGGCTGGGAGGCGTGGATGCATCAGTGCTTGCCAGCACGACCTAGACCGCCAGAATCCCTCGCAGCGCAGCCTGCCAACATCTCTGTGCTGCAAACTTGTAATTGGTCAAGTCACTTAATGTTGCAAATGTGGCCAATGAACGGACCAGGCGCGCCAACTAAGGGGCCATCAGTGTGGGCAAAATTGTCCGATAGTCAACGACAGGCCCTGCTGACACCGCGGGAATCTGATTTTCCTAGTACTTCCGGTCAAGTACACTCGTACCTAGTAGGATTCGCTTTGAGGGTCAAACTCGTTACAATGTAAAGGCATGAGTGTCACTTCAAAAAAATTGCTGAAAGTTCAGAGTCATGTGGCATGTGAAGGCTGAAAAATCAGCCCTAGGAAAAGCTGAACACTGGATTTTCAGGGTAGGTAAAAAAAAAACCCTAAAAATCAGGAATTTCAGGGTAAAATTCCTGATATCGTAGGGCCCGCGCGCAACCGTTGCATGTTTTAGCACATATTCGCTCATGCCTTCGCTCATACTTTGTACTCTTTCGACCACCTAGTGCAATCCTTGTTATCTCGTTAAATTGCACCCGTAACAAAAAGGTTATATTTGATTGTTTTTTACATCAATAATTGCATGTATTCTTTTTCCAAGAGAATAAGGGTTAAGTGTTATGAGTGTAATTGAGTGAACGAACGAGAATTGCACAATCGAAGCAGGAGTACAATGCGGGAAGGCATGAGCGAAAAATATATAGCGAAATTACACTGGTAACGGTAATGCGTAGAAAAATGGGGTGCGCGATGGGCCTAGCGCCGAAGTTGGGAAATGTCGAGGCGGAGGTCCGGAGCGCGGGTTACCAACCTACGGTAACCGTGAGGTTGGGTCGCGTCGTGAACAGTGGCGGGAACAATGTCGAGGTGAGTGTCGCGAGTGGTAACAGATTACTGTTGGGTGCTGTTGGCGGGAACAGTGGTGTACGCGCTGAGCAGGGACGCGAAGTAAGGAGAAAGAAAGTAGGGACCCTATGCGAGTTCGATGAGTGGCAAATGCTGTTCCCATGTGGTCGGGTCGTCGCACGTGGCTCGAATGAGTTGCTCCATGGTCTGGTTTGTCCGTCAGTCTTAGGGTGGTACGAAGCAGGGCCCACGATATCAGGGCAAAACATCCTGATTACCCTGATTTCAGGATGGTGTTTTAAGTTTGCCCTGAAATTTCAGAATGACGATGAAATTTACCCTGTAACGTCAGGATGATTCATGTGTTTTGCCCTGAAATTTCAGAATGGCAGTGAGATTTTGCCCTGAAGCGTTAGGGTGAATGTAGAGGGATGCCCTGACTCATGGGAAGGGGAAGAAGGGGTGGAGGGGAGGGGGGGAGAGGGGGAGAGGGGAGGAGGGAGGCTCGGGGGTGTGCGTGCTAGTTTTGTCCCCCCTCCCCAAGGTTTTTGCTCAGCCCATTGTAGTGAAACCACTAAACAACCTGCTCCTCTCGTGGCTTCCCCTCCACACTAGTGTCTTGCATTTTTTTGCCTTGAAACATCCGGATGAATTTGTGCTGGTGCCCTGAAATTTCAGGATTGCCAGGAAATTTTGCCCTGAAATATCAGGGCATTTTGGAGAATTTTCAAAAGTTGCCCTGAGAGCTCAGGGTGCCCTAAATCCTAGCACAGGGCCTGGTACGAAGAACTAAACTGTAGTCTGTCAATTATGTGCATGTTATATATGTTTAGGCTGTAGTGGGGTAGCCAATGTAGGGTACAACCCCTTAGGGTTCTCATCCTTATACCAAAACTTCCTCGATACTCAATCATCCCTACCTGTCAGAATGTTATAATTGTCTAGCCTGAAGTGGGGTACTCTATAGCGAGTACAACCCGATTAGGGTTTCCTATATGTATGCCAACTACTACTAGTGCAACCCTCCTCTTCTTGATTCCTCATTTCTTCACATGGTATAGAGCAGGTTCCCTAGTGGGAACGCTTCCTTGGACCCACCACTGAATTTTTTTTTTCTGAACGGAGCGCCAGTCGCTCCTGCCCGAGGCGCGCCTTCTCGGCCGCCCTCTTATCGAGCTCTCCTAGAGGCCCCTCTCACGGCCCCTCGCCCGACCCTTAGCGGCCCCGTCGCCACCCCTCGCGGCCCCGTCGCCGCCCTTCTCGGCCCCTCGCGGCCCCTTCGCGGCCCCGTTGCTGCCCTTCCAGGCCCCTAGCGGCCCCTTCGCGGCCCCATCGCCGCCCCTAAGGGCCCCGTCGCCGACCTTTCAGGCCCCTCGCGGCCCCTTCGCGGCCCCGTCGCCGCCCCTAACGGCCCGTCGCCGCCCTTCGCGGCCACCTCGCCGCCCTTTGCGGCCCCGTCGCCGCCCCTAGCGGCCCCGTCGCCGCTCTTCTCGGCCCCGTCGCCGCCTCTAGCGGCCCCGTCGCCGCCTTCGCGGCCCCGTCGCCGCCCTTCGCGGCCCCATCGCCGCCTCTACCGGCCCCGTCGCTGCCCCTAGCGGCCCGTCGCCGCCCTTCTAGGCCCCTCGCGGTCCCTTCGCGGCCCCGTCGCCGCCCCTATCGGCCCCGTCGCCGCCTCCAGCGGCCCCGTCGCCGCCCCTTGCGGCCCCGTCGCCGCCCCTTTCGGCCCTGCCTCGACCCTGCCCCGGCCCCGCCCCGGCCATGCTCCGTCGCCTGTCGCGGCGCACCGGGGGCACGTGCACCGCCCCCCCCTCTTTTCCCGTCGCCTGTCGAGGCGACCTGAGGGAGAGGGGCGACCTGGGGGGGGGGGGGGGGGGGGGCGAGCGTCGCCCCTTCTGCCGCTTGTTTTGACGCCCTGGGAGGCCGCGCGTCGCCCCCCCCCCCCCCCCCCCCCCCCCGTAACCTCCCTACCCGTCGCCCAGCCCTGCCCTATGTTAGGGTTTGGGGGTGGCGAGTAGGGGATGGCGGGTGTGTGGTCTCCCCTGCTCCTCCTCCTCCTCCTCTGTCTCCCACTGCTGCAGCTGCCGCTGAGGGGGGTGGGTGTGTGGGAGTCGACGGAGTGGTGCTAGGGGGTGGGGTGTGAGTGAACCTAGGGTGCAGCAGGGGGTGTGTGAAAGGGGGGTGCTGTGGGAGTGGAACTAGGGTTTGAGCAGGGGGTGTGTGTCGGGGGGTGTGGGGCAACTGGAGGAGGTTGTTTGAAGGTAGCTGTCGTGTCGCCTGCAGCGCCTGTAGTCCGTCGCCCTTGCTTCGGTAGCCAGTGAGCATGTTGCCCCAGTCACCAGTGGGTCCGTTGCTCCTGCCGCTCGTGTATAGCCGCGGAGCCAGTTACTCCAGTAGTCCGTTGCCCTTCCTTCGGTAGCCACTGAGTCAGCCGCTCCTGTGCCCGTGCCTCTGCAGCTTCAGTCGTTGCCTCCCATCTTCTCTCCCTCCACAGTTCCTCCTCCTCCTCACTTGCCCGCTGTGATTAACTCTAGCTTTGCTCGCTATTGTGAACTCCTGCTCTATGCCTGCTTGCTCATTGTGCTGATTACACCCCACTTTGGCTATGGGGGTGTGTCAGAATGTTATAATTGTCTAGCCAGCATTGGGGTACTCTATAGCGAGTACAACCCGATAAGGGTTTCTTATATGTATGCCAACTGCTGCTAGTGCAACTCTCCTCTTCTGCATTCCTCATTTCTTCACACTACCAACCAACTCTAACATGGTATTAAGAGCACTTAGGTCTTAGGACCTAATTTCCTAGTGGGCCCACCGTTAACTCTCATGTTTTAGGGTTTCCCCTGCCTGTTGAGCTGCCCCACCCGTCGCGCCGCCCTGCTGGCCGCGCGACGCGCGTTTAATTTATCTTTTTTCTCGTCACGCCGCCCTAGGGCCCGACCCCGCCCGTCGCGTCGCCTTAGGGCCTTCGCGCCGCCCACGGGAGCCCTGCTGCCCTGCTGCCAGCGCGCGACGCCGCCTGGCCCGTCGCGCACCTGTAGGGCCCGCGAGCCGCCCTTCCCTGCCCGCCGCGCCGCCCCTTTTTGGCAGCGCGCGGCTTGGCCCCGCCCTCGCGCACCCCTACGGCCCTCGTGTCACGCTCAGACAGCCGATGCGGCCCCGCTCTGCCCCAACGCCGCCCCTAGAGCAGCCGCCCCTGGACCCAGAGCAACCGCCCCTGGCTCCTGCAGCAGCCGCCCCTGGTGCAGCCGCCCCTGGACCCTCGAGCAGTCGCCCCTGGACCCAGAGCAGCCGCCCCTGGCCCCTGAAGCAGCCGCCCCTGGTGCAGCCGCCCCTGGACCCTCGAGCAGCCGACCCTGGACCCAGAGCAGCCGCCCCTGGCTCCTACAGCAGCGGCCCGTGGACCCTCGAGCAGCTGCCCCTGGACCCTGAGCAACCACCCCTGGCCCCTGCAGCAGCCGCCC